AAAAGTATTTAGAAGCTAATCCAGACTCGGTATATTCCCATTTTGCAAGGACATCTACTTAATGTCCATAAACTGATCGATGGACTTCATCAACGTCTCCATGAAACAGGTCCAAGTGAAGTTTTCAGTTTCTTGTTTCATCAGCACTTACTGTTACAGTAGTGTAGCATCTCGACAACTTGGTCTACAGCCATCAATGACAAACACCTTAACTTTATTAAAAGCAAGCATATAAAACCTGCCTGGAATGCTTGGGGAGGTCTTACGATAGACTTGGCCGGCACTGCAACCTATTGATTATGTTAATGAGTTGAAAAGTTCACTGTTAAATCAAGTCTGCTGCAGCCTGAATCTAAATGGGCTAGAGAGCTACAGTTTATGACAATCTCACTGATGCAAGCAGTCTCACTAGTCGAGAACAGAAAGACCAGTGGATCCCAGTGGATCTTGGGCTACAGAGTGAATGGTGATGCAATTAAATCCTAAGATGTGAGTTTCAAAGTTCCTACTTTGAATCGCATATCTGCCTGTCATTTCAATCAGGGCTTAGCCTATAGCAGAGGTGTCAAACTGCCGGCCCGTGGGCTGGTTTCATCATACTGAAGCCGCGCCCACCCCATTGCCGGCAATGGCAAAACCGGTCTGATATGTTGCGCGACGTCACTTGACATCACGAGTTTGACACCCCTAGCCTATAAGGTTAAGGATGGGCTTCTTTTGTCCTTCTGTGATGCCATTCAAAATAACATGTCCTCTTGTAAGAAAGAAATATCAACAGAAAGAACTAATCAAAGGAGGGGAAAACATCCCTAGATGTTTATCATATGGTATATTCTTGACATTTCTTAACAACCTTACAAGTGTGTTCCACTTTCTCCCATATTGCAGGACAGACCTGAATTCAAGAATAATCCTGACTGAGTTGTGATAGCAGATATGTGACTTGAAGTAGGAACACATTTACATCTCAGGTGTTGGTGGCAACACCATTAGACCAACTTTTCAACACTGCCTAAGGAATTTTAGATCATGGATTATATCACCCAATATCCGTGCTTATCAAGTCCAAGTGTAGATAGGGACTGGATGGGCTGGTGAATCAGGTCTCAGTACTAGAGAAAAACAACAGTGTCCCCCATATTCAAAGAGGAGTTAATAATATATATTAAAGTTAATATCCAGGGCATATGGAATGCATAATGAGTAGCATTCCTAATTTTTATTCCAAATTTACTCAAGATATACTGCCTGAAGCAACTCTCTCACACCTTTGCTAAATAGTACAGTCAACCCCTATACAACTTTTAGTAGAACTGGTATTCTTGGCCAAAACAAATTTAATGAACTTTTTAAAAAATCAAAAAACAAAAAAAGCAAAAACAAAACCATTATCCCTCTATATTTGCTGGCAAATATTTCTTGGCAAAGCCATTTATTTATATGTCATTTATTTTCTTCTGCTGGATAAAAATCAGATCCTTTTTGCTCTTCCATTTACTTTTCCCTTCCCTTTTAAAAAGCTATCTAATAACTCCGCTGTTTCAAACCCTCATTAATGTCTTCTCATTTATTAAATGGTTAATCTTCCTCCCTGGAAGCAGTTGCAGCTGAGTTATAAAAGCACTTTCTTCTTCCCTTCTAGCAAAAGGCAACTGCGTCTGCTATTTTCTTTTTTCTTTTTGTTCGTTTTTTAAAAAAAGAATCCTGCTGTTTTCATTTCTCATTCCATCTCTTCAACTGAATTTTTACCCTATGACGCATAAAAATGCAACGTTTGGAACAATTTATAAAGACTCTTTTTGTAAATCTCCAAACCAAATGAGTAAACTCCGTGCAATTTTATTGCAATTTTCATTAATCTTTCCTCATTTTTAACCGACAAGAAACTAGATCGTGGTCGACCACAGGCAACAGGTGTGGAACCATTGTTTTGGTTATCATAGGCTCTGAAGCTAAGATATATTTCATAAAGCATTTAGCGACCATCTAATCACTGAATTGCATTCCCATTTTCCACTAGTGCCTGGCTAATTATTTAAGGAATCAAACTCCTCATAAGAAAGAAAGTTGGGCATATTAATCCTGCAGTTTACTTCTAGAAGGAAGTTTGCAGAATCAGGAAGCACAGGAAAAAATGACCCAGTAATAAAATTTAACTAAAGAAGATTTTGCTCTGTGACATGGTCCTATTAAACCAGTCATTTCATAAAGGAGAATATATATATATATATATATATATATATATATATATATATATATATATGTGTGTGTGTGTGTGTGTGTGTGTGTGTGTGTGTGTGTGTGTGTGTGTGCGCGCGCGCACGCGCGTGTAAAGGACTAAAACTATTTTCTTAATTAAAACAATATGTAGGTATCTGAGTTTGTGGGTGTTTATGTGTATCACAACAGGATCAGAATGGAAGATAAAGAATCAGAGCCACCTTCTCTAAGAAATATCCAATATCCATCCAATGGATAGAAACTACTCAAGGAGATAAGCAACGTAGAACTAAGGAGAAAATTCCTAACAGTGAAAACAATCAACCAGTGGAACAGCTTCCCTTCAGTTATTGTGGGTGGTCCATCACTGGGGGCTTTAAAAAGAGACTGGACAACCATTTGTCAGAAATATTATAAGTCTCCTGTATGACCTCCAAGGTCCCTTCCACCTCTATTACTGTTACTGAGATTGTAATCAATTCCAAGTAGAGAAGCAGATAGATGCAAGTTTGAGGATTAACTAGCAAGAACTAGAAATGGCCAGAATGTTGGAGAATGGAAGCTAGTTAGAATGGACAGCCCTGAGATAACTGGAAAAAAGTGTCACTTAGTTGAAATGCATGAAGATACATTAAGATTGTTCCTTTCTCCATGCTACACATATGCACAGGGCTGAAATATATTGTTGACCCTTGCAAAGAAAGCAAAAGTTGTTCTCTCAATACTTTGGAGCAAAAATACCAGCCATCTTTGTTTTCAATGCTATGAACAGCTGCTCCTTCTTCCCATATATTAGGATGTTCAAGTTTAAGGAGAGAGGAAAGAAGGAAGGAAGGAAGGAAGGAAGGAAGGAAGGAAGGAAGGAAGGAAGGAAGGAAGGAAGGAAGGAAGGAATGACCCAGAGCATATATAAAACACATTTTAAGCCAGCTACCCCACCATAGAAAAAGCATAGTTAGAGTTGCTTTGTGTTTTCAGGAGTAAGTTTTCTTTTCCCTTTTCTGTTAATTTACCCAAGCATTACCCAAGCATGCTGACTGAGCCAGTCAGTTAGAAAGCTTCATCTTTACTTCTCTGAGAAAGTTAATTTGCTTCACCGCATATCTATTCCATGGGGTTCCCTTGTTGGTTTTTCACATGCTTCACAGCTAAAGCTGCTGATCACATTCACTAAGTATCATCCCTACATCCAGCTTCTCCCTGGCAATTAATCATAATTTTAAAAAGGTTTCTGGAGAAAAAGAAAAGAAAAGAAAAACATCTAAGCAAAGCCATCTCTTAAGGAGCTGACCATTTAGCATCCCCTGAGTAGAGTCAAAATGGAAGAAGCCGTGAAAATTGGTTGAACGTGGAAGAGATTGAAAGGAATGAAAGGGTGAGAAGACAAGAACAATCAAGGCAGGAGGGGGGTCCATTTGCCGCTAATCCCATCAAGGGCCAACTCAGCCCAGGTAGCTAGAAACCTGCTAAGAAAACATTTCACATCCTTCAAAGGGACTCCACCTGAATGAACTCTTTATAAATGAGGCTGGCACATTTCTTACATAGCTTTTCTACCCCAGACTAGCATTTAAAGTATCTGACTGAAATCTGCACAGATCTTGTTTCTTTGAACTAGACTAGCTGTGTGGGACCTGAGACACAGTTTCCTTACTTCTTTACATTATGGGAGGGCAAGGCTGGATAAATTGCCATATCCAGTAATCCATTTCAGTTGGGATTCCAAGGACAGGTTGATGGCAGTGAGGGGAAATTATGTTTTTCCTCCTGCTTACCTTCTCTGTGTCAAGTCTTTCTTTCTTCCCACAGTGCAACCCTCCCACAGAACAGATGGCCTATGCCAAGTGGCTAAATGCAAAACAGAGAATTAATTCTGATATAATTTTTGCACAGTACTGGAAGAATGAAGGATTGCCATCAGAAGAAGAAATAATCACGAAAATATTGGAATGGGCAGAGATGGATAGACTAACTATGAGGCTGAAAGACAAAGAAGATACAGACTATTATAAAATTTGGAATTTATTCTATTCTTGGTTAGAGAAAAGAATGAAGGATTAGGAAGTGAACATGTATTAGCTTAGCAAACACCAGACAACTTGTTTGATTGGAAAAATTAACATATGTTGATGGGAAAAAAATTAATAAAAAAAGATTGTTAAAAAAAAGAATTAATTCTGATAATGGAGCACATGTGCTCAGATGGGAAGGAGCAAGTACACACCCAGTCACGTTCACACACACACACACACATTTGGTGCAGCCTACAAACAGTGACGCCCTTTCCCAGTCTGCCATTTTTAATAATGTGTCTTTCAGCCGAATAGAACAGTAAAAGTAGCCCAAAGGTGGGTTTTTTTCCCCAAAAGGCAAGTGGACTTTTTTTATTTTTCCTTTGAAGACATTTCACTTCTCATCCAAGAAGCTTCTTCAGTTCTGACTAAAGATGGTGGAGAACCAAAGAAGCTTCTTGGTTGAGAAGCAAAACGTCTTCAAAGGAAAAACAAAGAAAGTCCAGTTGCCTCTTGAAAAAGCACCTTTGGGACAGCCATGACCTGGATGACTGAGAATCTCCATAGACGTTTATCAGATAGTAGCAGAAGAAGAGAAATGGTAACAAAACAGATGATTATCCGAGAGCCATTCCATTGCCTTCCTTGTGTAAAAGAAAAAGAAAAAAGAAAATAAGATTGCATGAGAGAAGAAAGAAAAGCAGGAAAGTTGAACAGGGGAAAAAAAAAAACCTGAGCATTCTTTTCAGCCAAAGATCCACCAATCACCTTAAGGAGTTCATAATGTTGAATGCCATTCACTCCAATGTCAGGATCAACAGCAGATGGGACAGAATAGCGGGAATTGATCGCGGTGTTCTCGGGGATGGAGATATTGATGACCGTTGAAGGGAAAAGAGGAGCGTTGTCATTTATATCCTCGATCAGGAATCGAATCTTGACCAGCCTGAAGACCTCATCAGGAAGAACTGCGACTTCCACCTCATAAAAACAACGGTTCTCACTAAAAATGCCAGAGCAAAGCTTTTCCCGATCAATGCGGTTGGCCGTGGTGAATATTTCTCCGGTATTCTCCTCCACGCGGATGAGGGGGACATCGCCAGTCTTGTACACAAGCTTGAATTGGAGGGGAGATGAAAGGGGCACATCGGGGTCAAGGGTCAGATTGAGATCCTTCAGCAAATTGCCAATCAGGACATTTTCCGGTAACTCCTCCCGCACGGTGTAATTCTTCTCCTGGGCGCCCGACTGAAACACGATGCAGACCAGTAAGACTGCCAAGAGGTAAGTCCCAGAAAGCAAGTCCATCTCCAGAACAGCGAAGGTGTTGTCCAGCTGAACACCAAGCAGAGCTAGAAAAAAAAAAGAGACAGAAGGAAAAGAAAAGATTGTATTAAAAATGCAATGGGGGAGACCGCTAACCTCAGTTTTGATGTTTTCTCCACCATTGCAGAACAGAAACAAACATATTCAACAACAGGTAGGAGAAAAAAAATGAAGCCATTCACAACAGTAAGAAACATAACCTTTAGGAGTGCACAGCATATGAAGATTCAAAAACACATACCCAGTTAAATCCTGTCTCCAGCTAATTCTCTTCACCCACTTTTTCCCCCCAGCAACCGCCTATATCAGGACGCTAATCCCAGTTCACTGCCATGGTGATAGGTAAATGTAGTAGTATTGTGGTGATGGGCACATGGAGATACAGTAGGAGATAGGCCATTTTTAGGGCACATGAGACAATGTCTTAAACCAGTTCTATGTTCCAGCTTCTTGGTCTTGATTCCAGGATCTCGCCAGCAGACCTTCAGTGGCCCTGCTTTTGACTGCTGCTTCTAAATGCCAAGTCAGGCTGTAGTAGTGATTCCTTTCTTACCAAAGACCTGACTGGGTCTGGAAGAGTGTAGATAGCCCTTTCAGAAATATAACTGTTTGGGTTTCATACGCTGAAACTCTGGGAAAGGGGTGGACTTTGGCATTGTCATCCAGGAGTCTCCTGCAGCTTTCAAGGGCAGTGCACTATCAATCACCAGATGTGAGACCCTGTTCACTATGCTTCACTCTAAGGATCTGTTGGGATTATTGCTGTTGGATCAACCTCCCTGGTGCTCAGCAACCTGCCTGGTTGAGATCTTTAACTCCATTTCTGGGTTAACAGTGGAGTTTCCTAGACTCATGGTCTTGGGGGGGGGGGGCTTCAAGATGCCTTCTCTAGTGGTGGGCTTTGAAGTGGCTCAGGATTTCAAACTACCATGAGGGCTGCAGGCCTTTCCCACATTACCCAGAGCTCAAAACAGGACAGTGGGTCACATGCCAGATGTGATGTTCATGTCATGTCATGATCTAAAATTGAGGGAGCTGTCCCTTATCGCTGTCAGATCACACCATGATTATTATGGGTTTCTTTAGTTGCACTGCAAGAGAGAAGTGTAGTTGCATTAGTTGCATTTAGTTGCATTGCAAGAAAGAAGGAAAAAGAAAAGAAGAATGGAAAATGCAATGCAAGTCAAGGACTGGCAGTAAATGGGAAGCACACAGTTGACAACACTAGCCTATTTGAAGCTAAGCAGGATCAGGATTGTTAAATATTTTGATAGAAAATATTTACAAAGTACTATCGCTATAGGCTAGGGAAGGAAGTTAAAAATATATCCCCCCCCCAAACACACTGGCAAACCATTTCTGTATAGCTGTCAAGAAAGCGATGTGAATATTTTCATGAAGTCATCAGGAATCAAGCAGAGCTTGATGGAGACTTCAGCTTTTTTTAATGCAGGGAAATGACAAAACAGTCGCTCCCCCCCCCCATTTTAATTTCCATCCAACCTCTAGAAGAGAAGTGGTGCCTGATGGTTCTTAAAAAGCACAGATAGTCCTGTCTGTTTTCTCATATGAAAAACTCAGGCAGGCAGAGTGAATCAGATTGATGCCCATCTGCCAGCATTTAGCCCAGAGCGGATGAAAAGCATCTGAAAGTAATAAATGGAGCTTCCAAAAGTTGAAAGAAATAGCAAGTGGTTTTATAATCATCCAAAGAATTGATTGAACTACCTTCGCTGGCTTCTTTAGATAAGAGATCATAGGCTTGTAACAAGCTGACAAGTTGAAAATGTGACAATCCTAGACCAGGCCAAATCTAAAAAAAACGGCAGGGAATTTGTAGAAGCCTGGCCCTCTGACAAATCAGCCATCAGTAGACACGTGGACATTCACAACATCTGTAGACTATGTAAAAGAGACAATCAACTAGACCAAAAGAGAAAAAGACTCCAGCCTCTCTCCCGCCAGTAATCAAGACTCAGATCAGTATAGATTAGCTCCAAGGTCAGCTTCAGACCAGCAATCAAGTAAGCAAGACCCCAATCAAGAAACTGCCAAAAAGCCTTTAGTAAACAGCCCACCACCCAGACAGGCAAGACACCAGAATATAAACTAACAGCAAACAGCTCTCCTTACTAGCACTGATGATGTTACCTAGTTAGGGTTAAAGGTCTGCAAGAAAACAAGCAAGTTCAGAGAGCACCAAGGACCCCTCATGTCAACCCTGAGCCACAAAACCTGTTCCTTTGTAACAAGTTATCCATGCCATACATTGATCTGGCTCTTTGCTTTCCAACTTAATATACCCATAATTTGTAGAATCCATTATTCTTAGGATCACATTTTTTGGGGGGAGGGCAGGATCCAATCTGGGTCAGTCACTGGGACCAGAAGTTTAGTCTTCTGAGCTTTCAGATATGCTGGAGACCATCTTCAGGGAACTTCTCTCTGCCACACAATTTGCTAGAGAAGATGGGCTCCAGCATGAGTCCAAAATCTCAGAAGATGAAACCTCTGGTCCCAGTGACCAACCCAGATTGGATCCTGCAACATTATCCTGGGACATGTACGTATATTCGCCTTCACTTTTCTTCTTCTTCCATGTCTAGATCAAACTTTAAACTGCCAGAATGTAGCCACCTTCTTGGCTTTTTCATTGGCCAAAAATAAGCCATTATCGGTACATTTTTTTTGGTAGTAGCCAACATATCAGCAGATGGGCTGGGCTCTGCATCTCTCCACATTCACACACAGTGTTGTTATCCGCTAAGGGACTCCACTGCAATTGGGCATGTCTAGTTTAATGAAAAGAAGGACGAAGGGTGACATGATAGCAGTGTTTCAATATCTCAGGGGCTGCCACAAAGAAGAGGGAGTCAACCTATTCTCCAAAAGCCACAGAAGGCAAGATGAGAAGCAACGGATTGAAACTAACCAAAGAGAGAAGCAACCTGGAACTAAGGAGAAACTTCCTGACAGTTAGAACAATTAACCAGTGGAACAACCTACCTCCAGAAGCGGTGAATGCTCCAACACTGGAAGTTTTTAAGAAGAGACTATCTGAAATGGTATATAGGGTTTCCTAACTGAGCAGGGGGTTGGACTAGATGACCTCCAAGGTCCCTTCCAACTTTATTATTATTATTGATCATCGCACAGTCAGCCAGATGTTCAGACTGGATTTGGCATTTTGTCTACCTATCGAGTCCTTACCCAGGACCTGGGATAGGCAGATGTGGATGTTTGATGGTATTACTGATATCGTCGCAGGATGGAAGCAGTTCCTAGTAAGGCCGCCTTTTGCAATTGACTAATAGCGAATTTGTCAATGCCAATGGTGTTCAAGTGGTGCTCCAGTTGTTTTGGGATTGCACCCAAGGCGCCTATGACTATTGATACTACCCTTGCTTGCTTTTATTATTATTATTATTATTATTTGAACATATCAGTTTTATATTTAGGCCCTCCAACTCTCAACCTATTCAGGGTCCTCCAAATAGTATAAGGAAGATCAGATCCTCAGCCATAGGATCACAAACCATACATTAAGAACTACAGCGGGACACCACAGACAGCTGTCCAAGCACTCAAATACCCAACACATTATTTCCTTTTCAGTGCATTGAACTCAGTGCAACATTTTTAAAAAAATATATTTCAAATGAAAGAGCATTCTTTTTATTTAAAAAAAAGGCGTTCCTTTTCACTAATGTACCATATACTGTAGTACAAAAACCCAACTTGTCCCCAAAACATTTTTCATCTCTGGTTGATTGGTTTTGTTGCCTCTTAACACTTCCTCTGTTTTACTACTGTTTTTTTTAAAGCATCAAGCGAGACAACCATACATCACATATAAAGCTTAAGCAGTGCATATTCTAGATTAGATTTAGAATACGTAAAAGCATCACTTAAATTGTCAAGTCGGGAATCAGCCCGTGTGGTCCTTGGTAGGATAGGACTGGTGTATAACTATGGTGAGCTTAGGTACGGTTCATATCTAACAAAGCGCTTTTCCAGATTAATGACTGAAGGAGATTTATATTTGCATGCGGGTACAATAAATACATACTTTTTCTGAGCCAAACTGCAAGATAGAATTAAACACCATAAAAATACGGTCTCTTTCTTTCCCCCTCCTCTTTGAATATTGTTCTATGTTCATAAAGCATTAATTTTCCTCTTTTTTCTTTCTTTTAAAATTGCATTGTAGCTAGCCAACGAATGAAAGAAAACAAGCATTAAACAATCAGAGAATGAAGCCCTACAAGAGAGCGCTTGGGTTTGCTCTTATTAAAATAAATGGCTAATTGCCATCAGCGCATTGGGATGACAGAACTCAGCACAGTCTCTTTCCTTCTGTATGTTGTTCTGTATTCAACCCACTTGTGAATCTATAAAGACATAATAAAGGTCTACGCACAACAAAAATATATTTTTTTTACCAAATTTAAGCTCGCTTTCTCCCATTTCTGTATAATAATTCCTTTTAAGGCATCATATGCCATATTTTGTGGGAAATAATTAAATAATACAACAGGCATTGTTTTTTTAAAAAGCACTTTCAGATGAGATGGATGAATGAATGGAGAGATAGAGGGACAGATCATAGATGGATGGATGGATGGATGGATGGATGGATGGATACAGACAGACAGACAGACAGACAGACAGACAGAGATAGACAGATCTAGAGATAGATAGATCATAGGGATACACAGATAAGACAGAAAGATAAATGACACATACACACACACACAGAGAGAGAGAGAGAGAAAGAGAGAGAGAGAAACAGATCACATAAATCTTGTTGATCATGTGAAAAGTAAAATTAATATACGACTGAGATTAATCGTAGCATGCCCTTTCTCCCCCAAACTGCACCACCAACTCAGGATTAGTCTTCCTAGCACCAACCCCATGTGCCTTTGTGTGTGTGTGTGTGTGTGTGTGTGAAACAATTTCATATTTGTCATTAGAGCTCACTTGAGAAAATGGGCACTTAGTTCCCCAAAGTGTGAAAAATGGC